TATATATATATATATATATATATATATATATATATATCCGTCCGTATTAATATAGGCTGTTTTAAAGAGAGGCGAAATGTTCATCAGGGTTTCCAAACTTAATGATAGTATACCGAGCTTACGATCGAGCCTATGGTGACGAGCTTTTTTTTTTTTTATTTTTTTTTATTTTTAATTAAGTATAAAAATAATAAGCTGATGAAAACGACCCGGTACGGGAGAAGCGTTTGTTCACACGGCCGCGAGCCTCTGCTCAAAACTGAAACACACCTGTAGACTGTGCACGCGCATTCATCTTTAACACTTTTTTTTCTTTTGTTTTTTTTTTTTATATTTCAGTGGAAAACTAACTTTGAAGTGCGCTCTGGTTTACGAGGAAACAAAACTTTTATTGCAAAATCAGCGCAATAATTAGCCAAATGTCACGATTTTAATATATTTAGTCACTGTTAAAATGTCACAGCCTAATACTTTTAATAAGGCTCAGCTCCCTGTTGAATTAGCAGTGCCAAATATTTAAGCAGTTAAGTGGAAAAAGCAGACGTGTTGAAACAGCTGCGCAACTTTCAGATGTTTGCGTTGTTGTTTTTGCGTGTGTGTGGAGAATTTGGTGAGATCCCTTAAATTCTACTTCAAGTTATCAAAATAAATAAATAAAAGCTATTAAAAATGTTATGCCACTTTATTTATTCTAAATGGAATTTCCATTTTAGAAATAACTAAATTAATCATATTGAAAAAATGAATTACCCCCCCCCTCTCACACACAGATATTTTAAGTGTTGTTAACTAATATTAATTATTGGGAACATTTCTCATACAGTAGCTTGAATGGGTTTTTTTGTCCTCTGCACACAGTGAGTATTACATTTTGTGGCATATCTTGTGCCATCTTATCCAGACAATCCTGAAGAGTTTAAAAAGAGAGACACAGAAAATAAACAATTCACAGCAGACTTTGAGTTAAGCAGGACCAGTGCTTTAATATGTTTGAGTGCGCTTATGGAATGGAGTGTATTATTATTATTATCATCATCACCATTGTCATCATTAAATGTAAATAACAATAAACATACAACATCAGTTTTGACCTCTCTGCCACTGAAAGAGGACTCTCACTGACCAATGTCAGACAGCAATAAAACAAACACGCACTCTCACACATACACACACAGCAACGCTTGAACCAATTCTCATGTCTGAAAGGATTCGCTGCCGTCGTGAAACCAAAACACACCCTGCAGGGGTGGGCTACTGTTTGACTTGACATCTGCATACTAAATGAATGGACGTGACTGTTTCCGAGGACTTTTAAAAGTTTGCGTTTGTCCACAAAGCTCAAAAAACAAAAACTGGTATCCCACCTCTTTTTTTTCCTGGTTTTGCATTTTTAATTCCCTTAAAACTTGATAAACCCTCATGAACGCTGGGTTGTTTCCCATAACTTTGGACATGTTCACATATGAGTGCTGCACACCTCACTCCATCTACCACAAAAGGAAAACAAGAACAACAAAAAAAGTTGAAACAAACAGACAAACACATTATACAACACACAATGTTCTTCAAGCTCATGTGGGGTAGTTCTGCTTGCTGGAAGATGCTTTTGGCAAGTTAACGGTAGCAGCAGGTCGACGGGTGGGTGGCGGATACTGGGAGAAGTTCATTCATTCACAAAAGAAGTCACAAAAAGCAGGGACTGTTCATTTCACGGTACAGTTACAGGGCATGGGTGTTACTGTTTTTAATTTGCATCTGGTGAAGTTCACCGTTTCCTTTCCAAAGCTTACACAAGGAGATCTCTGGGGCCCAATCAGCTCCCTCGTTTCCACATGTTCTTTTTCGACACGTCCTATGTACAGTAGGAGCTACGCGACAACAGAAACAAAACAGCCCATTTACAGTGAAACAACACAAAAATAATATTCACTAATCACTGACACAGGATGAACTATCAGCTGATAACCTCCTTGACAACAAGCAGGTGATCTGAGTTACACGGAAAGAACAGAAGCTGGTTTCATTAATGAATACACTGAAGTGGAATCTGGGAAAAACACTTAAAAAAAAAAATCACATCTGAAAATGCACATGTGACTGGTGGGTAAATATACAAAAAAAAGTCACAAAAAAAACACACTCCACAATGCACTTCCACACACGCACACTATATTACCTCCTATTTTAATTTTATTTTTTAAATTATAAAGGCAGGACCAGCATGAACCAACAACAGACACAAACAGCATCTCCAGTTTGAGGAGAAGGAAAAGGATGCCTGGGAATGTAAATTTACACAACCAAAACCAACCCACTGTGTTCAAACATTACACAGGTGCTTGCTTTTTTTTCCTCCTTACTTTTTTTTCTTTTTAAATGTAGGTTAAAAAACAATTATTGGTTTTATTTAACTGAATTATTGAAAGGTTACAAATCTAAATGCAGATGTTGTGAAAGGTCGGAAATAAAAGTCGAAAACAAAACGTCAAAGTAAACACCCTAATATTAAAATAACATTTTACTGTTGTTTAAAAAAAAATTACAAAATATAAAATTAAATAATTTGGAGTATAAAGGCACACATCTTGCACAGTGTATACAATGAAAAAAACAACAGTTATTTAAAGCATGGCAGGGGCTTTTTTTATGCTGGACATCTCACGAATGTGGTAAAAGTGGAGGGAGGGGGAGCACACACAAAGAGAATAGAACAGCCAACAACACAGACAAGGAAGGGGAAAGGAAACGAAGTCCTGTGACATGCATATTTGAGTTAACTGTTTCCCCCCCTAACATCTATAAATTGTATTAAATTCAAGCAGTATCATTCTTCATTTACCACAGCACTATCATTCAATCTGAAGGGTGACTCTCTCTCTCTCTTTTTTTTTTTTAATTTTCCTTTTAAATGCAACCATTTTTCAGGACTAAAATCCAATGTAAAAAAATAACTGTGAATATAATCTATGATATCTAAACAAACATGTTGTGATGGAAGTGTTTTTGCATGGGTTATAACAGCCAAGAAGGACGAGTTTACTTGTTTTAGTTGGTTATCCAGAAGTGATAGACGACGTCACGCGCAAAAACAGCTTTTCTCACTTACATACATGTAAATATTGCATTTCCCTTGTTAAGATCGTTTCAGCTAATTGGGTATTCGTAACATTTGGTTCCTTTCCTCTTGTGCAAAATATACAAAGAAAAAAAAACACAAACTCAGAAACGAAACAAATATTAGCACGTCAATTCATAAATCCACCAAATTCAAATACACGAAATCCACCTTAATAAACAAACAAACAAAAAAGTCAACAATAATGACATAATGACAACGATGAATAACAGACTCACAGCTGAGGTTAGAGAACGATGCTGTTGGTGTTAATGACTTAACAACACGTATCTTTACATCTACTATTCCCTCCCCCTTTCATCTCCCCCTTTACGACCTTTGAACACTGACACACACACTCCATCTGCCGCCACTGGGTGTGTGCTGGTACGATGCTGGAGGTAAACTGTCTTGTGTTTGCCCTGAACACAATCACACTACCACCTGGTATCAAAAATCCCACCAATGCAGCACCTGTGGGCTCTTCTTATAGGGTCAGAAAGGCTGGATTAACAGAACTCGCCCACTTTACCTAATATTGCATTGAATTGTTTCCCAACCAATCCCTGTAAGAAGAGCCCACAGGTGACAAATGGAGGAGATGGGATTTGAATCCAAGCTTCTAAGATTAAAATCTAAACAAGTCGAGTTCCTTTTTGTTTGTTTTTTTGTTGTTGTTGCTGCGCGTGTAACAGACTGACAACCTCTTACAACAAATAAAAGTGCAACGTTTTATGATTTGACTCATAAGGTGCTGATGGCAACAGAAAGTTGAGGGCTGTTCATGTTTCAATCTGACACCCTGTACAAAGACACCATAACACGGAGTTGATTCGCTCTTGAGAAGCAACAGCCACATGTGGCTTCTGGGCAATTCTCTGCTGCCATGGAACAGAAAGCGTGACTTGCTAACTATATCGAACATACTGAAAAGTGGACAGCAAACAGAAGCTCCTCTTCTTATCTTACAATCGATGTTCCTCCATTAATAGTTCTTAATCAGAAAGATAGCAAAGTGCAGACACAGAGGTGCAGCTAGTGCTGGAGCTAAAAGCAAGCGTTAATTTACATGAAGTTAAGTAGTCTGTGGCCAGAGGTTAACCCAGAAGCTCAATTCAACAAAACCACAGGAATGAGAGGGGAAAGGGGGGGGGCGGCGTCAAAAGGGCGAGTGCTCGAGGAGGAATTTAAATGGGAAAATTTATATGGCCGAGTACATGTTCAGCATTCGAGTGTGGGTCTGGCAGTTGGCCTGCTGGAAGACTGCTTCCTACTTCCTTATACGAAGAATTGCATTAGACGAGGCTCAACGTAAACTTCCTCTTTATATCCCCGCTCGCGCCTCTGAGAGCGACCTCCACTTGTTCTCACACTAACCACATCAGACCCTTCCACCAACCTTCCCCCTCAACATCATATGGGAAAACCAAATACAGACATTGAAATAAAAAAAATGCAGGGAGCTGGATGATGTGTTAGAGGCAATAAAGAAAAAAAAAAGCCATATTCCCAAATAAACGACCGTAAACAAAAAAACAAAACAAAACAGAAAAAGAATGTAATGACTGGGTCTCTTCCTTTTAACGCCTTTATCATCCAAAGTAACAACAACAGAATTCAACAGAGGAGAGGATGAATGTAAACGAACAATGTTTTTTTCCTTTTTAGCTGCAGCAGGTGGCACCCCACAGAAAAGAGAGACAGAGAAAGAGGGAAACAAACAGAGGTGAGGAGAATGGATAAGGGAGAGTGACACAAAGCCATCACAGCACCTCATTAACTCTTACTCTGGATGCTTTCCCTCTACATCACTTTCTCTAGTCCACCCCAACTTCCCACTTTCCCTCCCCTTCTCATGTGCCTCTTTGCCCCCGTCACTCATGGAGGCTATGACAGGATAGTGGTGATGAAATCGTAAAACCTCTTCGAGTACTGCTCTGGGTTCACCGTGGAGATTTCTGCTCCGGCCTGCAGAGACACACACATATCCATCATCACTGGGCAAGTTTAACCTTGTTGTTTGTCAACTGAGCCACTGAAATAATGGGTCTCTATGCAGCTACGTACCCCGTGTTTGACAGTCTTGGCGGCGTGCGCAGCTTTCTTCTTGGCATCATAATGCTGCAGGATGTCTATGATAGCCATGAAATAAACCTCCTTCCTGGGAGCACCTGGAGTTTAAAGCAAATGCACCCTAAATAAAAACCATACAACTGTAGAGGGGAAAAAGCAGATGCTGTTTAATGTATGTACAATTTCTCACAAATAATCTTCTTGAGAGACTGAATACCAGATGTGATAAATGCAGTGAAAACCAAAGCTACCAGTAGGGGGAGCTCTTAGTTCTTTGTTGTTTTGTTTTTCCCATTACATACAGCCATCACAATGCAAGGATTGCATTTCTCACTCACTTTCATTGCTTTTAATGGCATAGACGTCGATGGTGGGGTCGAACTCTCCAGGTGATAGTGGCTTGGTACTATCCAGGGTGTTGCTGGGACTGTCAGGGGGGGTCCCAATGCCTCCTCCGTCACTCTCACCCTCCTCCTCGGCCTCGTTCTCCTCGCTTTCCACTTCCTCTTGCTCAGCTCGCTCAACATCGTGGATCCCTACCAGCAGACTGTAGTCCATGAGCTTCAGTTGGGCCAGGAACTGAGGACGGTGCATGGAGGCAGGATGGTAAAATAATGTGTGGTGATGGAGGAATAGATGAGAGGAAAAAAATAGAGGTTGAGTTAAAACTTTGTAGCAAAATATAAAATGAACTAGTGATGAATGAATGGTGACATCAAGTGAGATCTTTTACAGCATGACTTGCTACCTCACATCTGGCTACATACAGCACTTAATGCATGGAAAGCCACTGATGGGACCAACAGACAGCGCAAAAGCCGAATCACAATTTGACAGGAAAAAAAAAAAATTCATGTCGAACACATACCTCCACATCTTTCCTAAGCTTCTCCAGGAACATTTTCTTGTTCTCTTCATTAATGTAGATCTTCTGCCCATCGTTGATGAAGTCATTGTCCTTGTACGTGGGCAGCTCTTTAGCCTGCCCATTAGTATTGGAGATTAGTGACCAGATAGAAACAGCCAAAACTACAACACAAACCCAAAAGGCATGGTACTGTATACAGCAGACCTGGGCAAAAATGTGCAGACAGAATTTTAGTGCTTAAATCAAGTGTAGATGAGGAAGTGTCAATAAATATCACTCCACCCAATCATACACAGATTCTATACTTGAACATACCTGAATACAATATTAAATAAAAGCTGTAACACCAGCATCTGTATTCTTCATTGTTTTTTTTCCATAGAATACTCACAAGACATTATATGTGTCATTACACAGGACTTAAAGATAGCACAGTCTTGCTCAACTTTAAGCATTAGGGGGTATTTCAAAAAGCACGATTACAAAGATTAACTCTAATCTTAGAAATGACTCATACTGAGTGTGCATGTAATTGCATCGGCCTAACAATCCTGCATGTTGAAATACCCCATTCACATATATGAGGCGCTGAGCCTGTGGTTTGTTCGATAAGCCTGTCTACTTCAGCCAAACACAACAAGTACTACTGGTAACATAACACGAGTTGGCTACAGGGTACAAGCTGTCTGTCCAAACCAAGGCTTTCCTCTTTTCAAGCTAAATGTTTTGACTGTTTAATACAATGCATGCAACATGCACACAGCAGGGTACAGATCCACCTGATGCTCTAAGTTTACAACTTCCCGTATCACTTACACTTAAATGTATTTACTGTCTGTATTATCATCATTTTTCTGGCACATTGTACAGAAATTTGTACAGCATTTTAAATGCATTTGGTAGATCCGTATACTTTGTGTCATGAAAAAAAGAACATCCAACTCAAAGCCACTAAAGGTCCGTTTATGGCACGAGAGTAGACTCCGAAAAGCATCCGCTCTCTTAATTTCGCAGAAGTACTCTTGCTCTACTAGGATGCTTTTCAGATTCCAAATATTGGTTTGCAGGTAAAAAGATGTTTGTTTGATTTTAATAATTCTATAAAGCCACGTTATCTTTGAGACTAATTGCTATTATTCAGCCTAGAAGCAGAAGGAAGTAATTTCCTATTTAAATGTCAGTCTACAGGGATCAATTTTCTCCTCAAACATGCTGCTGCAAAACCACCAGCAGCCTGTAGGTGGAATAGGTGATACGTGGGTAGGGAGGGGCCTAGTTCTGAGTCACTGAGGAAAAGGAGAGCAGGAAATGAGGTAAGAGGGCAGCAGCAGCAGTTTAGCTACTACAATGTTTCTATGGCAGCAGGAGAGGGGCAGCAACACACAACACCTTGTGGCACTAGAACAAACTCAGACAGCACACACACACATACAAATACATACAGAAGACGCCTTTACAGGAATATTTCTCACATCATTGGACAACTGAGCACATATATATACAGACATAGACCTCCAAATGAAAAAGAAATAAATGAAATGTACAACTTTCTTGACTGAATATAGATGCGACATAAAAATAAATGAGGCTGACTGCAAAGAGCAAAAATAACCCAAAACATTTTAGATGCCTGTCACCAGATCAGACATCCCAAATCTGGCAATTCATCCATCTTTCTGTGGGCTCATTTCAACTGTAATATTTCCATGCCCAAGCCTTCCTTCTTCTTGCTCCTCCAAGTCACAAAAAAAAAAAAATAATGCTTTCAGTTGCACTCTCATTGATTTTCTCAGCTACACTGACTAAAATAATTTGGGTCTGACACTTGACTGGTGCGCTTCGCTGAGGGAGCGAGAAAGATTTATTTGAGAGAGGGGGGGAAAAAAAAGGAAAGGTTGTTGATGAGCCTTCCAAAACTGCATGACAGGTGAACTTTTCCACTGCCTTGAAAACGAATGTTGTTTCTTTTTTCTCCTGTCAGCTGGCTTGAAATGGATCTCGCAGTTTTGCTGTCTCCTGATTTTTATACCTTTATACACTGTTACAGTGCACATTTTACATCAGTGACATGTAATCTGCACACTATGAAGACTTCCTAATTTCACTTTTGTTATCTAGCACTTTGGTATCAGTTACTAGCAAATCAGCAGCTGTATTATAACCACTCAGACGTAAACACAAAATTAGCCACTTACTTCATTTAACACTGTTATGTTTGAGGACAGAACGTGTCTTTATGAGTGTGTACATCATTTATGTACACACTCATTGGTTTTATGTGGGTTTCCATGATTGTATGATTACTAGTTGCTCTACAAAACACTTTTTAAAGACCCAATGGCCATATTGCTGCCAAAAGCAGAACACCTAAAAACAGCAGGGCTTCAATATACTGGAGTATTTCTACAAAACAATGGAACATGGTCCCCAAAACAAATTATGTACTAAACAAGCACAGAAAAGGATGTTTTGCTTCAGTATTTCAGGTCTAAGGTTCTCCTTATCACACAGACATTTTCATTTTCTTCAGTACTTTAGTGGCTTAGAAGAGAGATCAAAATGTGAAGTATAAAAACAAATCGTCCCACTTTACTGCTTCTTGCTCTCCAGTGTTTCAAATAAATAAAGGTGCCAGTGAGTGAATGCTGGGAACAACAATGAATCACTGGGCGAACTCAATCTTACTGACAAGTTGACTAAAATGTGACTGTAAATGGATGAAATGTTTGCCAAAAATATGGCATTTAAATAACAGTGGATCAGCCTGGAGAACAAACGGAAATATTCGGCCATACAAAAAGAACAAAAATAAATAAATAAAATAAGATAGATTTAATAGATCATGCCTGGTATATGAGCCCTGGTTCTCTTACATCTCTTACGTGTTTCATGGCGCAGTAAAAGCGCGTGGCAATCCGCAGTGTTTGCAGCCTTTGCTGAACATTACCAGATTTGGGCCGTGGGGGGGCATCCTCTGATGGGGGTGGCTGCTAGAAAAGGGGGAGCGAGGGAGGGGCGGTAGGGGTGGAGGAGAGGAAAGAAGAAAGGAGAGAGGAAGGGAGGAAGGAAGTTGGAAGTAAAGGCAAAGTGTTTAAAATGTAACAGAATACAATAGTTTTGTTTTCAGATTGGTAGAGGGTTGGAAAGGGCATCAGCGCGAAAGATCTGCATGACCCGTCTAGACGTTTGTAAATCTGATGTCTTTACAATGGACGTGCCAAGAAGTGCATATCAGTCTCCAACACAGTCATCCAACGAAGATGTAAAAAGATGACACTATGTTGTGGTTACATTGACCTAAAATAAATTGTTTAGACTCCCTCTAAAGCTTAAACATCAAAATTTAAGATCGATATTACATAGAGGCATTACTCTGCACCGCCTACATCAGTGTTTGTTCATTTCCCGGCTTAAACACCTGATAGAGAAAGAAAGCAGCCTGGCAAAGCTACTCTATGGAGCAAGGATCTGGGACTTAGCAGAGCGAGGAAACAACTGTAAACTTACTTGCATCCTATGAACCTACCAAACAACTTATCAGGCGTGGAACTTTTTCTAGAGGATTAAAATTACCGGACAAAGGAAGAAAGATAAAATATCAAGGAGTTCAGACTCATTCATATGGCCACATGAAAGCCATGTGGCCCCACCGGATACCAGCTGTTTCTACTGTGAAGGAGAGAGAGAGGACATTATTTTTTTTATTTAAAAAGAAAATAAATGCAGTTTCGAGCCATTGAACAGAGACCTAGTGGTGATATTAGTTCTATTTCACAAACCAATGACCAGCGACTATTTATGACAAACAAACACAACCTCTAAATTTCACAGATCACCAAAGAAAATAAATAAAATAAAACGCTGTCACTGCTAGTGTCCTAAATACCTGGTTAACCACAAATAATATAAATAACATGATTTAATAGGCCCATATAAGACCAGTATAACCTCATTTGAGCTCTACTTAGTTTGAGAATAAAATAAATGAAGGTGTCAACCACCTGACTGTTTTTCTGGTAAATGCTGTATATAAAATGTGTCAGAAAAGCCAGCTGCTGCTGCTGCTTGACAGCCAAACCCCTGAGACAGCAGCTACAAGAACCACAGAATTTATTTCATGAAAAAAAAAAAAAAAAGAAAGAAAAAAATATACATGTCATACATGAGTAGAACAGAAAATGCCCACAATGTGCAAAAGAATGAGACCGGTGTTCATACACATTGGAATGTGTTTGAAATCATGTAACTTTGTAAAGGATGCAGAAAAACATTATATATACCATGCAGATGCATGCATGAAAGGGAGAGGGCCATGCAGTCAGGAGAGGACTCTGCCGTGCTTGTTGTTTGTGTGCGTTTCTTTAAAACTTTTTTTTTTTTTAAGAATACAGACTGAGCAAAATGGACTGTTTCCCTTTTTTATTCTTATTTGACACCATTTTACTTCTTAGACATCTTACTGACCCACTGAGTGTGTGAGAGCAAACGTAACTTAAGCATGTCTGTATTCCTGTGTGTGGGGTCGTGGGTGTGTGGCCAGATCTTGATCTCTAAAGGCTGAACCTTAGTTAACTCTGTGAGATCTGTTCCAAGTCTGGTGTAAATGTATGTGTGATCAGATGCTGTATTTTGCACTCTGCAGTTTAACTATAAGATAAGTATTAGAGTAAAGAAGCTTCACGTATTGTTACTTGTTATTTTGTTATGTATTGCTTATTAGCTAAAAGTTAAACTAAGCAAAGAAATCAATACAACCTACAGGCAACAACGTGTAGTATTACCCCAGTTCCAAAGAATAAAATCTAAAAAATAAAAAACAAAGAAAACCAACAAGCAGCAATGATTTGCAAATCCCATGAAGCCACGTTATTGACAACAAACTATGGAAAGCATATCAAAAACTGTCAAAAATGAGAACTTTTATTACTTCATGAAAAACATTAGCTCATTTTAAATTTGATGACAACAGCACGTCTCAAAACTTTGCAACTGCACAATGAAAGGCTGGAAAAGTAAGTGGTACTAAAAAAGAAACCGCTAGAGGAAAATTTTACTACTAATTAGGCTAGCGGGCAATGGGTCGGTAACATGACTGGGTGTAAAAAGAGCATCTTAGAGCGACAGAGTTTTTCAGAAGTAAAGATGGGTAGAAGTTCACAATCCGCAAGAAACTCAATCTACAAATTGTATGAAACAATTTCAGAATAATGTTCTTCAACTTTAAATTTCAAAGACTACCATCAAAGGTTTCAGAGACTGATTCTGAGAAATCTCTGTGTGGAAGGAACAAAGATCAATACTGGATGCCCGTTATCTTCAGGCCATCAGATGACACAGTATTAAAAACATCCATGATTCTGTCATGGAAATCACTGCATGGGCTCAGGAACATTTCCAGAAATCACAGTCTGCGAACACAGTTCGCTGTCCCATCCACAAATACGGGTTAAAGCTCTTTACCCTGCAAAGAAGCCATACGTGAACATGATCCAGGAGCACTACTGTCTTCTCTGGGCCAAAGTGCCCAGAGAAGTAAAGTAGAAGACTGTTCTGTGGTCAGGCAAATCAAAGTTTGAAATTGCTTTTGGAAAACGCTTCGTCCTCTAGATTAAATAGAAGAACCATCCAGCTTGTTGTCAGCATCCGTTTAAATGCCTGCATCTGATGGTATGGGGGTGCATTAATGCCTGTGGAATTGGCAGCTTGCACATCTGGAAAGGCACCATAAATGCTGAAAGGCATACTTAGGCTTTAGAGCAGCACGTGCTTCCATTCACATCTTTTTTGGGCATATTTGTACATTTCAGCAAGAAAATGCTAAAACGCATACTGCAGCTATTACAACGGCATGGCTTCATAATAGAAGAGTCCAGGTGCTGAACTGGCCTGCCTGTAATGCAGACATTACACCAGCTGCAAACATCTGGTCAATGAAACAAAAAACATGACAAAGATGACTCAGGACTGTTGAACAGCTGGAATCCTATATCAGACAAGAATGGGACAACATTCCTGCCCCAAGTCCAAACCTGCCCAAACCTTTCTGAGATGTGCTGCTGCCATTAAATTACAAATACATTTTCTCAGTTTAAACGTTTATGTTTTCTATGTTCTATTATGAATAAAATATGAGTTCATGAGATTTGCATTCATTTTTATTTTACATTTTAAACAGTGGCCCAACTTCTTTGAAATTGTTGTAGTTTAAGTTAAGAGTGACAGTTTGTCTCAGAAAATATAACATCTGACTTAATACATGCGAGCTTGCCAAAATGTATCCTGTTGCTTCTTAATCTCTATTGCTAGACAGCAAATGGTGCTTCACACAGCTGCGCTGCAGACGAAAAGAGGTCACATAGTAGGCTCACGTGTGTGTTAAATCCTCAGCTGCTTTGTTTTTCCACTCATCTGTTTTAACCATAATAATATTTTGCTTGTTCCCCCATGTACAGGGGCCTATATTTAGTTCAGGGATTCCCTGAAGTCTTCCATGTCTCACTGCATGGTGTTCCACAATTAAGCCCCCCCCCATATAACTCGCTTCAAGCTGCTGTGGTTCAAAACTGGGGCAGCCTATGTAAATACCTTTTATAGGCAAAGACTAAACTTTGCAGAAATAAATGTGTATGCAGATAATGAAAAGAGCAGTGAGTTTTCCATCTTGCTAAGCTGATACACTGCACTGCAAAGTAATCAAAGACGATGTCTGTAAGTATCATTGTTCTAGATCAAACCTTCAACCTTAAGGAAAAAAAACAAAACAAAAAACAGCTAAATAAAACTCTTCTTATCAGGCAAGGTAACCATTTGAACTGTTGTTAGCGAATACACATTTAACACAAAAGACAAAATCAGTCAGATTTCTGCAAATTCTGTGACAACTCATTTTCAACAGGTGACTCTGTTCAAGCAGCCAAAAGCTCAAAAATAGGCTGTTTCTCACATCAAACAGCAAAACTTCCATCGCACAAAATGTCCTGCTCATATACACTGTTTACACACACACACACAAACACACACACACCAACCAGCCAGACAAATACATAAAAAACAACATACTCAATCATGAGACAACATCTGTCCGAATAAAAACACTACAACAACAAACAGCCAGACATAGAGTCAAACGCGCAGATGCACACAACCATCAGTCTTTCATACACAGACAGCAAGCAGGGGAACTAATGGATCAGCAGAAGCCAGGTTAGAGGGAATGAAGCAAATTAAAAGGAACAAAAATACCATGCAGTGGCTAGAAAGGGAATGGAGTGACAAAGTAGGTGCTACCTGAAGGAGATGGATATTTGCTACTGTCATCCCCACCCAAAGGGAAACAAAAGCAGACACCAGAGTCCTGTTAGTTAAACCATTTGGGTGATGACAGTGAGCCTGGAACTGTTTGAAAACACTGGAAACAGGTTGTTTTCTTTCTCATTCTCTAATCGTCCACATGGCTTTCTTATGACATGTTATTTAAACAAAATATTCACGTTTAATATACTATATTTAAACTATTCCTCAGACTGCCAGGACTGTTCAGTAGTACCAGAACCAAGACATCGGCAGGGTACACAGCACAGCTGTTTAAGACGACACCAACTCACAAATCCTCTCAGAACTTCATTAAGCAACACTTTGCAAATTTAAGTGGAAGTCTGGTGGACTTGTTTAGTTTGCTTTGATATCTAAAGCTTTTACTTTTATTAAGAATTCTAGCTAAAATTGTAATTGATATCATTTACTGCTCAAAGCAGACAGGTATGGCTAAGAGTCCTATCCAGATATTTAGTATTCGTGATTATGTATAACAGTGGACCTTAGCTCTCAGCAGGTGACTATACCTTCTCCTTGTCGCTCGCCTCTCTTGCCACAGTGGACCCCTTAGAAAAACAAACAAAAAACAAAGACACACATATTCAATTTCTTTTCACATTCATGCTGTATCTGATCACCTCTCCTCCTTCTCATTTCTTTTTCGTGTGTTCTTCTTTCCTTCCCTCTTACCTTGAGATCATATTTCTTGTAGACAGAAAGGCGGTGAGAGAAGACATTGCGAGTAACAATCATGTAAGTCTCATCCCCATCCACTGTGAGCCGGTACATCCCCAGAAACTGAGGAAGCAGCGTGTTGCCATGGCACTCAACAATAAACTACAGAAAGAGTGTGAAGAAGACAAATATATGACCCTTTTTTCAGTCACAATGGATACTTAATGCCTGTACTAACAGGGAGAGTTTATGGAATAAAGAAAGAGATTTTTAAAGCAAAGCACAACTTAGCTTTTTCCTGAGAGATGATAAACAGACTAAAGGGAGTAAGGGGCTCCTATTACAACAGCTATCAGTGGACATGGCATGACTATGGAACCCATAAAGTTTTTTTTTTTTTAATCACTACTTAAACTGCAAGATCAATAAGAAGTTGCATTATTAAAGACAACAGCTTGTCCCTTTTCCTTTTGATGTTATTTTCATCAGCCATCAGCCATAGGCTAGCATAATCTATTTCTTCCTATGGAAGAATAAACAGTAAGTCATACATTATAGTTAAAAAAGCCCTCTTCACCTGATGGTATTTCTTTAGAATGTTGTGCATCTCGGCCACATCCTCGCTGCTGATGGTCTTGATGACGTACCGTTTGTCGTAAGAGGTATGGAAGCGGGCCCCGCTGCGTCCCTGGGCCTCACTGTTTAAGGGAGCACTGCGTGTCAGAGAGTTCTGCAAACACAGAGCACAAACAAAGATGAAACAAGGATAAGGATGGGCACAATGAAATGACAGCAGCTTGTCATCTTTGCTCTTTGACAATCCTAACTTCCCTATAAAACCTGTTTTGAAAAAGAGTCAGAACTCATATTGACCTCTCATTATTGAATAGCTGATAGGGAAATTACATTTCTGAGGTAGTGCACAGTTGTGAGGGAGCTCAGAAATACAGCAAGTACATCTGCATTCTTATTGTTTCACCACCTCCCACACTCTAGTCTAAACATATGAGGGTTTGACCCCTACGGCTGCTGCGCTGCCAAAGCTACACACAGACGTAAACAGCCGCTGCCCAGACTTTGGAGCTCACAAGTAAGATGATCCAATGCCCTATGGCTCAATCCCTCATTCTCTAAGAATTCCTCACCCCCTCTCTTAAACTGTTAGCTTATGTTGCTTATGTTGCAGAATGACAACAAACTTTGGAGTTATGTGGCAGAAACAACAATATAATTTCTTCTTATGTTTAGAAGCTTACTGAAGATTTGCTTTTTGAAACTGCTAAAAAGTATGAAAAGTAAGAAATGACCAAGTCTTAGTGCAATATTGAAATCATTTGAGTAACAAGCTCAACACGCTAAAGAAATGCTTAAATTTATCAATTTTTTTTGCAGTGGTTACCAATTTTTCTCATAATTTATTTAACATAATGGTTACTGTTGCACTCTAATGACCTTCCCAAAGCATAAACTAATACGTCTGACATTAAGCACCATGAAAAATAACAAACAAACTTTTAAACCTTCTATCTTCAACAAGTGTCTAATACCAGTTTAATAGCGACAATGTGGCATTTTGGACTGGTGACTTTCAACTCCTACTGCAGCCAGCTGAGCCCTAATGAAAACATGTAAGAGGGGCAGCTGCACTGAGCTGGGAGACAATGATATCCAAATACAGCCAACTCACATACTGCACCGGGAAACAGGGATTTACTGGGAAAGAGCAAAAACTGAAGACAGAGTGGGCTCAAACAAAAGAGGGAAAAGATGACTGCATTGTTTTGGAGTAGTTACGTGTTTAAGTGTGCTTAGATTGTTAAAGTTATTAGACTGTGAAACATCTACTAAAAAAAACATGGTTATCTAAGTGACAACCCAATATTCAAATTTAAACCAATCATATACTACAAATGGTAGAAGTCTTTTTTTTACCAAAAAGTCCTGATCATCGATGCCAAACCTCTCCCTGAGGTTTCGAAACACCAGAGGGCAGTACTCTTTGAACTTGAAATGGCTAGGCATGTTCTCCCTGTGTGTACACAAAAATCAGAAAAACATAACGAAGAGTTTATGAATGCTATTTAGCGTGTTTTGTTACTCCTTTATGCTTAATTTAAAAAACACATTTATTTTGGTGACACACAATTACTTTGGAATTTAAAAAAAGAACTTACTTGTTGAACAGGTGGTTGTCCACTTTAATCTTAGAATAGGCCTTGAAGTCATCTGGCATGAGCATGATGGGAATCTGGACATGGCTTAACTCGTTTATCTGTGCAAAGAAAAACACAAAAACAGGGTCAATCAGTCATGCATCTAGGAAAACGAAGCAGCTTAAAGCATGTCTGTGAAGCATGTGGTGTATAAGAGGTCCCAGAAATCCTAGACAAAATATGATGTAGTGACCAAGGAAATTAACACTTAAAGGATTCTTTCATTTTATCTTTCTACACAATGTGGAAATAAAGTTAAGATAGAACATGGATTGTGCTCGGTTTGGCTGTTCTAATATTACAGTTATCAATCCTACATAACTGAGATATCTGAAATTTGGGGTCCTGAAAACAAAACATTGATGGATGAATTTGTAACCCACACTAAAGCAGATATACAAGTTATTGCGCTTTATTATTTAAAAGAGCATTAACCAATGTGTCCAGGGCCATCAATTAATGATAATCTTCAGCACTGAACAACTGGCAATGTAAACATTTTAATAGATTACATTTCTAGGATCATGTCATCTACAAATCTGAAGGACAGGCAGTGAAGAGAATCAAAAGGAAATGCTCCAGAAAATGCAAATGTTTGTCATTGTTTTTAAATGTACAGACAATGACAAAATGGGGACTTTAAAAAGAGTGACACGCAGCCTGTAATGTCTATATAATGTCTAATACAAGACATAAATAGAGTCTAGATAACATGTGGATTTGTAGGAGTAAGAGAATGTATTGCAGAAAAGTTAATCTTAATATGCTTCTTCAAGATCCTGCAGTCTGTGAAGCCCTGCTATTTTCTAATCTTCTTGATAGAACATGTTTACAGTTCAGAGCATAATGACATTTTCTTTTCAGTGTGCAATGCCATTTCTCTAGTCTCTGAAATGCAATTTTAAAAGAAACTGGGGTGTCCTCATTACTAGCTAAAAATTGAGCACTCATCCTTTCAAAACCCCCAGTGACATTTACCTTGAATTTCAAGAGTGATGCTTCAATGAACCTTATACAGTGAACAGGAGAGCTGTGATCACCTATGGTACATTTGCAGGAGCTTCCCTTGGAGCTGGCCATGCTTCACATTGCTGCACTGCACAGACCTGACATTTGTTATGAATCAGGCACAGCTTGATACACATACGATGTGTGTATTTGTGTGTGTGTTTGCGCATTTGTTGTTGGCTGCCGGCAGGCTTCCTAGCAGGTTGCTTGAATCTATTAATAACCCTCCAATCATTCCACCAAGCACACTCGTGATGACGGTGCAGGGAGTAGCCTAAAATATTTCATTTTGACTGATTAATAACAAGACATGTGCATGTTCCTCTGCAGCCATGTCTCAAATGTGATTTAAGTTTTCTACATTGCTTACAGCTAGGATTGTGCTGAGATTCAAAATGAGGTGTCATATCACGACTTCAGCATCTCACTTAAACGAGGTATCCAATGTTTTTACCATTGCAGATCATCTGCAGCCTTGTAAAGTTGCAGAAATGTTGGAGACCGTATGCAACAGAAAGTTCATAATACCAGTCAGAGTGAGGTGAAGACATGTATTAACAGGCTGAGAGTGGAAGAATACGTCTATGATCTTGTCCACTCTCAAATTATTATATATGACGAAACTGCTATATTAAAATGTAGACATTCAGCATTAATAATTTAAGAAAAATCTGTAACTAATGACTAACAAATTCCCAGCACAGCCAAGATGTAGGGCTAATTCCCCACAGGCTCATGATATTAATTTATTTTGGTCAAGTATATAATCTGGGCCTGTTCTGCCACTTGAACCTGGACCCAAGTTCACAGATGTCATATCCAAGTATGGTTCAGCACCCTGTTGTGACAGGCACTGTCGTCACAGTGACGTAATACAACAGATGCATCCTGGGTACACAAGGGAGATGTCACCTAATCAACAAAGCTGCATTTCACACAAGAGCAGAGACAATGCCTCATCACACCACACACACACACACACACACACACACACACACACACACACACACACACACACACACACACACACACACACACACACGTGTCTGTGAGGACACTAGTGTTCAGCAATGACAATTGAGATAAAAATATCTGTTAGATAAAAGAGACGATGGGTCCCTCGAGGTTCATTTTCCCCCAAACTACCCTCATATGACCATTTGTGTAGATTTACTGTTTCAGCAAATGTCCTTGTTGCTACCTTTAAATTTCACAACCATAAAAACAGCAAAAGGAAACATGAGAAAGTGCCTACCCAGGATGACAATGTTGCCCTATGTTTTACAAATGAAGATTTTTTTTATAGGCTTCTACCTTGATGCTAAACATCTGCGCAGGTGCCTTTGTGGAAATCTTGTATATAAACTTCACTATAGTTGCGCCTAGCCCACACCATATAATGTTAAGTAGAGCTATTTCATGTTTCAGGCTCTCATATGACCATCCAGTTCATGTGTTTATTTTCCTCCATCTATCAAACTTGCAGACAATTTCACACCACCACTTCCTTTTTGTCTCCATGGTGATGAAGACTGGTTTTCCGGCCCAGAGTGAAGTAAGTGTGCGCTGTTGCTCCATTGGACAGGAAGTTGGTGAAGATAGCATGCTTTGTCAGCAGCTCGGCATAGCCTCATCTTTCTGCACAATGACAGATGACTCACTAATAGTTGAAAGAGCGAATGAAACAGAGCTGAAAAGAAAACTGCTCCCAGACTTTTATATAAAAGAAGCAAAACTAATCAGACCCGCAATCAAGATGGGTAGCCCACAGGGACATATTTGACAATGAACAGGAAAGATGCGACCAATCATGATCATACTTATCTTTTCTGATAACACCATTACTGATTTGCAAACTATAAGCAGAATGCGTTATCAGTGGAAAAAGTTAACTTGGTAATGTAATTATTCTGATGTGTTCCTCTTGAACCTTTGTTAGTAAAGGTCAAACATAACATTTTTAGAAAGAGAAACAGGAAACATTTTCACATACCATTATTTGATAGTTGCATATAATAGGTCTGGTCTCGCTTTTAAGAAAAACATGTTTCACTACGCTGTAGTTGGGGAAAATTGTCCATTGTTCTAGTGATGGCTAGAAATGTTATTTAGGGTTTCTGCCAGTTAACTGTTAGCCTTGCGACCTGCAGGATCTTAGCTTCAGGGGAATTTTTGTCAATGTCTTTTAAGATTTTTATTTTTATTTTTTTAAACGTTAGCTGTAACTGTTAAATAGGCTATTGGTGGACACACATAAAATAACCTTAAACATCTCTAAGGAGACAAGTAAATGAAAGTAATTCACAGTCTTGTGTTAACATTGTAAATGGACTGGACTGCTACTTATAAAGCAACTTCTATTGTACTTACACCTTTCTGTCTTCTCTTTTCTTAATGTGAGAGAATATTATTAACTATAGATTAGATTCCCCTCTTGTTTTGGACCATACGGTACACATCAGTGCAAGTAGATACTGCAAGTATAGTGTGATGCATTTTTATTGCTTAGTACTGATTTTAGTACTGATTTAATTTTGAACAACATAAAACCACTTTGAACTGTCAGGAAATTGCTGGCTACGAGTACTGTTCAGCCTTTTGCTGTGCCTGTGGTTTAATGTATGGTGCTATGAATATGACCTGCTGTACAACTATTTGAATCAGCAGTACTGCTATGACAGATTTGCTATCAATACATCACAGGAGTGCGGAAGTACAGCAGCTTCAGTGCAACATTTAGACAGCATAACCAGCGCTGCTGCATGTGTTTACACCTATTAAACAAATGTGTCACAACCAGACTCAGAATAAATGAAGCACAGCCTACAGCGACAAACACAGTGATAGCTATGTCCTCCCATTGACATAGTCATAAGTGGTTTTAATCAACTTTGGCAGCTATTACTAAAAGCCTGTTTTTGCTATCTTTACCAGTTGCAAACGTTTTGCTGGTGTTGGTTTATCCTTGTGAAACCAACACCAATCTACCCATCTATGTGTTAATTATCACAGCAAAATGTGGTGCAGGCGATACACTGCAACAGGAACTGCCACAAAGGCAATTTGGAGTACTTTAGCTTATGGCCGTGTGAAAAAAATAGTTTCCACAGGACATTGTGCAATCCAGTGAAAAACTATGCACACCTTTAGGTACAGCTTATCAAATTCACTTGATTGATCACAAGCAAGTGTCACCAAATCTACAGAGATTGGTGACACTTGCTTGTGACACTCCACAAGCAAGTGACGCTCCATTGGAGGTGTCTGGCTGCATATAGTGCAAATAGAGCTATTTTGGTGAAAAACAAATACCATATCAGCACAAACACCTCATACCAACTGTGGTCGAAGGGGTGATGATTTGGGTTCACTGTGTGGCCACAGGACCTGGACACCTTGCAAGGTAATTTGACCATGAATTCCTCTGTAAATTAAATCTTTAAATTGGGTCATGCAACAAGAGAGTGATTCCGCAGCAGAAAATCTACAAAAGTTGCTAAAAAACAAACAAAAAAAACCAAAAAAAAACACACACACAAAAAAACAAAACAAAACACAAAAAGACCAAAAAACACTCAAGGTGCTAGAAAGGCCCAAAGTCCAGAACTCAACTCAATTACAATGCTGCAGCAGTCCATAAAGAGAGCTGTGCATGAATGAATGAATGCAAACCTAACTGAACTGAAGCAAAATTGTAATGAAGAGTCAGCCAAAATTCCTCCACAATAATGTGAGAGACTGATTTACAAAAATACAAAAAAAAGATACCAAAAAAATGATTGCTTCAAGTTATTGCTGCTAAAAGGTGATTCTACAAGCTATTAAATCATGGAGGGTACTGCATTTAATAGGACTGCACAGAGTCATGTGAAAACAGTTTTTTGACATGACTGTATATCATAAAAATGGTATTTTGCAATAAAGACTTACCTACAGTGTTCACAAAGCTAATATGTTACTCGGTATCTTGCATTTTTAACTTCTTTAGAACCATGGTTATTTATCTGTTGATTTAAATTTTTGCACAATGGGTGTGGTTTTGAAAACATGT